ACAACCAAACTTTAGATGAAGGTGTTGACAATGAAAGCAGAGGGCTAACATAAACATCAGGCCCTTGGTCAGGCCCCGCCCGCTGGTCTCTGGATAGGCTCCACCTCTCAGCTAATCAGGATCAGCGGCCATGAAAGAGCCTCAGCAGGAGTCTGCAGAGCCTGGTCAGCGGCTCAGACGTGGCTCTGGAACTGGACGGCAGCACTGAGCCCCCTGCAGAAACCTGGGCCTCAACCACCAATGGAACTGCAGTCTGTGGGAGCGCGTTAAACAGCCCCCAGATCACTTCTGCTCTTACTGTCCCGCTCAGCCAGTCCTACCAGCCCCAGCAACGCCAGGACCCCCCAGAGGAGGCTGCCGGAGCCTGGAACACGGCGCTGTGAGGTAAGAGCGGCAGGTGGCTCACAGCTGAGGGCCGCTAAGCCTCCAGCAGAGGTCCGGCGGCCCTCCGCTCTGCTGCAGCTTTAGGCTAAAGCCTCTTATTGCTCATTTTGTCCTGTGCCAGCACCAAAGCAGCCATTATGCACGCTGTAGCCACAGTAGTTGTTGTTTTGGGTACTTATTGCATCAAGTCAGATCTTAGTAATGATTTGACTCACAAGAACTGCCGTTTTTCTTTTGAATGTGCAGACTTGCCATACCGTGCTTTACAGGACTTCAAAGACATCTTTTACATTTATTTAGAAGCTCCATTAATAATTCATAAGAGCAGATAAATCAGCAAACATTTGAAAACGGATAATCCAGGTGTGGAAAATTCCTACCCTGTTGATGTCCCTCGGGTGTCCCAGGCTCTGGAGCCTCACCAGCTCACAGACATGGGAAGGAGCTTTGGACCACATTGTGTTTTAGGGCGGACATTCAGTATTAATTTAAGGGTTTTTTCTGTTGTAAGAAGATAGAAAAAATCCTCATCAAGTGAGCTAATTCGAGGCAGTGTTTGTCATTTTGTGTTCCCGTGAGAATCTGTGCAGAGAAGAGAGTTCCATCGGTTTCCAGGTTTCACAGCCCTCACCAACACCCTCATTGAGTGCCTGCATAAACATCTGTGGAAGTTTTTCCCCTGCTGGGTCTCCAATTTAAATGTAAATATGTTAGTTGTAAAGGAATTTCATTCCTGCTTATTGTTTATAAAGGAAGCCATGCCTTTATGGATGTTTGTAAAAACTTAACGTGACATTTGTCATATTCAGCTTCCATACAGTTCAGTTTCAGCCAAATCACAACGTCTGTAAACATACCAAGTGAGGTTTGTTATTTGGTCAGGAATGGCTAAAAAGAAGAACAGTTGCAATGTTTCTTAATCAGATGTTTGTCCTCAACCATTTAAGCCCTAAAAGTTAACTTGTTGCTTTCATTGTGCATCTGGATGTTATTTAGAGGAGTCTGTAAGCCAAAATGACCTGAGCTTTGTCAGACAACGTCAGAGTTATATATTATATATTTAGCTTTTGTTCTCATTTGTAATGAGAATATCAGTTTGAATCCACAACCATGCAGTTTCAAATTATTAGAAATGTTTTAAAGTAATATATCTTATCCAACTTTTTACAATGGCCATATATGGATTTTGGCTTTGATGTGAGCGAGTTTTTCTGAGAAAAACTGTAAATGTGGCTTGCATATAGCCATTAGGAAACTCCCCCTTTTATGAGTAGGGAAGCTAAATCTACAGTACAGATTTCTGTTGAAAAAATGTCTGAAACTATTGTTGTGAGATGAATCCAATTAAGTTTTTTTTCTCTACTAAAATATTTACATCAAAGAGTTTGCAAGTGTTTTTTTTCCTGAAAATATACACTCACCAACAGACATTTTGGTTTGAATGGTTTCAAATCTAGACTAATAATACAACAAACTATGAATAAAAACCCTCAAAAGTGTGTTTTTAGTGCAACTGTCCAGATGTATCCCCATAAATGTGTCCTCACAGATCCTGTTAAGTTCTTTATCTTAATTAGATTATAAATTCAAGGTTAAACTACTGAACTACTTTATTTGGAGCTGGATATTTGTGGGAGCACCTTCAAATCCATTGTTTTGTCTTTTGTTTTGTTTCTTAGCCTGAAACGTTGGAATCGTAGAAATAATGAACAACTTGACTTTTGCTGGTGATCAGAACAAAACGGTTTCCTCCGGCTCCTCGGCACAAACTCTGCCTCCTGTGTTTTCCAGACACTGGCCAGAGCTGATGGAAGCCCAGCGTTGAACCTTTCTTGCCTGACGATGAGAGGTCCGCAGCCCTGTGTGCTGGTGCCGTGTGAGTCAGCGGTGCTGTGTGTGAGGTGAGCGTGGCAGAGCTCACACACAGATTAGCAGCCTGAGCTTTAGCAAGCTGTTGTGAAAATCTCTGATCTGGCTGACCTGGGCTCTTATGAGCTGTAATGGTTCAGCGTTTTTAGTCTTCAGTGTGCTGGTCAGGGGGGTTTCTGAACTATCTTGTCAATTCTGGTCACTGATTTGGGAGCCAGATTTGTCAGAGGAGACGGGTTTGGAATGGATGAAACAAACACTGATAAAGTTACGCAGACAGGAAAATATCTGCCATCTCTGGAGGGTCTGTGAGTTTACATTCACTTTGGGAAAAAAACAACTTCCTTTTTTTTTTTTCAGAACAATTCTAAGGCAATTATTCAAATGCATCAGAATAGTTTGTTGGCTATGAATAACATTATGTGAAAAGCTTCTCAAATGAGACCAATCCAACCACTCGGAGAAGTTTGAAAAATGCTTAAACAGCTAGGATCCCCCCCCCCCCCCCCCCCCCCCCCCCTGTGCAGCCTGTTGTGTGGCCAGTGATGCTGACTACTGTCACACTGTTCTTTCTTATGGTGTAATGTTCCTCTGAATTTTTGAATGGATCTGGCCAGTATTTGTATATCGGTTGTTTCCAGAACCAATTCAGCAGATTAGCCAAAGAACAACAGTGCTAGTCAACAAAGGCAGTCTTTTCTATTAACACTCAAAAATCAGCTTAGTTAGGGATAAAAGAAAACGGTGTCTGAGGCTTCCCCCACAGACAGGAATAGCATCCATCTGATGGCACTGGAGGGAAGCAAATCCAATTCAAAAAGACCCACTTCACATGTAGAAGGACCTGTGGTTGACAGTGTCCCAGTACCAGACACTCCATGGAATGGAAATCGGGGACCCCCACCACAGCTCCTCCAGGCCCTGACCACCACGAGTCAGGTCTCTAAGAGAAATCCCAAAGAATACTGCAAGTGGGAAAATGCTTTCAAAAGGAGGTCATACAGGGCTCATTTAGTGAGTAAGCCTGTGATTTTACAAAGTGAGTCAGCACAAATTGACTGATTAATCTTTGTTGCCAATTATTTTTTCTTTACATGCAAATAATTGAATTATCATTGTTCTAAAATATGTGATGCGTGGTTTTCAAGAAGAATAGTCATCTTTATCTTCAATAGAAGTTCCATTTTTGACCCATTGTGTTGGGCTGGAGGAGGCCAGGGGGTGAGGGGGGGGTTATCAGCTACCTTTGAATGCTAATCCTTCGCCGTATTTTCATTATAATCTTTGTTTTTGCTGGTAAACAGCACTGTGAGACAGCATGCATGCGGCCAGGCTAGTGCAGATCTATAGATCTGTGTTTTGGACAGATGCCAGATTGGCACCCTGGGGTGTGGATAAGGAGTCTTGACGCACACTCCTGACAGGTTATATATGCATGGCTGGAAGCTTTCAGTAAATCATGAGCCCAGATGATAGCTGCAATCTTTATTTCCCCGAGAGACTTCTTTTTGTCATCAATAAAGACTAGCTGTGGTCTTATATATTCTATCATTTGAAGTTTCCACCTAAATGTTAATCTTCTTATAGAGCCACTAATGGTTCATTAATACATGTGGCTCCTCCCCCATGACATGCCTCTTCTTAGTTACTTATGTTGTCTGGAGCTTCTAAACTACTTAGAATGTTAACTTACTGAACTAAGAATGAGTTCAGGTCAATGTTTTGCATCTCTTATAGAGCGAAAATACAACTGTTACTTACCCTGTGGACTAAGCTTTCTCCAACTGAAACCAACTCTTTATGTACCACAACCAGGAAGTAAACTGATGAACATAGCAGTCTGGATGCTTTATCAACCAGGGGACAAATTCTTGTCATTGATGTACCCACTCAAAGAGCATGAAAACAGAAAAAAAAACAAAGCCAATAAAATAATATATATATGGAAAGCCATGTGACTCGAAGTAGACTTTTAAAAATGAGTTAAACCATGTTAAAAATAAATAGGCATGTGACATATGCACTCTTAATATGTAAAATTTGAGGTATTATACATGCAGATCATTTTAAAACAAATGTGTCCAAAGATTTGTACAGATCTAACACAGATGGTGTCAAACATTAAGGGAGTCCGATTGCCACAGGTAGGATTAACCTCTGGTGGCAGTTTGTGGTACATTTAGGTGGAATCTGTCTTTCACTAAATGAGTAAATATGACTAAATACCTGCTGAACATCCTTTTTAGTAGTTTTTTATTAATTTCCCCGTGGACGGAGGGGCGTCCTGCTTTATGGAGAGCCACATGAGCAGCAGCTCATGTTGGGGGATAAAATGATTCAGCAGCAACCAAGCCTCATGGTTAAGCCCCACTTAGTTAGCCAAAGGAATCCACGTAAGCCTTAAACAGCCTCGGCCTTTCACCCTGCACCCCCACTGCAATCCCAAAACCATTCATCAACCTGCCAATAATATTCTGCTTTGAAGCCTGTTTTCTTGCTTTGCTTTTCCATTTTATTGAGGTCATGACGGCCCTCTCCCTGCTCCCCGTTATTGGTTTGGTTGTATGAACTTTAACAGTAAATTGAAACATTTTCTAAGATGGTGTACTTCTTTATTTCTTTACGCCTACGTTCAAATTAAACTAATGTAGCTTTTTCCTTCAGCTGTGTGATATCTGTGACTGGTCCCCTTGGCAGAGCCAACAAAGGTGAATTCTGATGTCCAGGAATCAACCCGCAGCTGAACCATGGTCATTCTGCAGCAGGTAGGTTGTTCTGAGCGGAATTGGCACCAGTTTTTTTATATACATGCCCAGTGTTTTGCACAGGCCAAATATCTGTAGACTTAAAGGTAGCCGGAAGTTAGCGTGTAAGCATTTTAAATGGTCTTTTTTTTTTATTGTGTTTGTGTGCACCAGTGTTCATTTCAGTGGCGTATGCGCATTTAAAACGTGAAAACCCCAAAATTCACAAGAAAGTGGCTTTTAAATTGATGTCCACTATAGTGACTGCTGTGCATGGAGGGGTTAAACTTCGAGCCTCAGCTATGGATCGCACTGGATCTCTGAAAGACAGCTAAATGCTGGTAAATGGAATGAACATGCAGCATCCTTAAGGCCTCAGGGTTTTTGTTATGAGCAGATTTGCCAGCAGCTTCTTTCGGAATAAAAGCAAACCTAGTAGCTGCCGATCCTGAGCTATTCTTAAAGATTTTAAAAAAGATTACATAAATATTAGACAATATAATCAGCCTTCTGGCAACCAAACACTAAAAAAATAATTGACTGGTTAAGTTTATCTGCTCCACTCTGACCATGGTGGAGTTCTATCGTCTTCAGAAAAGCAGAAAACAAATGTGGTCCAATGCTTCGCTTTGTGGAGCATAACGTTATGTTTTTAGGTGGTGTTGCAATAAAGAATTCTGGTAATGTAGCTGTTTTTGCAGGGAGAAGCCAAATGCTGGGGATATTGCTGTGGGAATTGTTGGGTTTCTGTAGTTAACTTCAGAGTAGGGTCTGACCTGCTCTGTTTGGAAAGCGCTGTGAGACAACTGTTGTTGTGATGTGGCGCTATATAAATAAAATTGAATTGAAATGAATTGAATATTAGATTAGGTATTGTCACTAAAGCAGCACCTTAAAGAGAAGTCAGAGCTAAAGCCATCTTACTGCTACATCAAAAGCAGAGATGAAATTCTCATTTCTCTGACTTTAAAGCACATCTTCTGCAGCTCATGTCCTGACGTACACAGATGGTATTAGGACCTGCACTGCTCTGTGTGTAACCGGGGTGTGTTTGACCACACAGGGCGACTATGTGTGGTTGGACCTCAAGACAGGAAGAGAGTTTGACGTTCCTGTGGGAGCAGTGGTCAAACTCTGTGACTCTGGACAGATCCAGGTTCTGGATGATGAGGGCCGGGTAAGTACCACCTCACTGTCGCACAGTCCCTATCTACAGCCAACTCACCTAGCACTTCCACAAAAGCTCTGATCTTGAAAAATGTGCAGCATATGAAAACATCTGCTGATGAGCAGCGTTCTTCAGGAGGAGACTCATGAAGCTGTTCAGCCAATGGCTTCCTGCAACCACAGTTCTTCATTATCCCAAATCTTTTGTTTGCTGAGCTTTTAGAAACAAATTCACTGATAATTTGAACTAATAGCAAGATTGTTGTTCAATGTCATTTCAATACTTTGTTGCACTGATGTTTCCTTCCTCAAAGGAACACTGGATCTCCCCTCAAAATGCGACCAACATCAAGCCCATGCACCCCACCTCTATCCACGGAGTGGAGGACATGATCCGTCTGGGCGACCTTAACGAAGCCGGCATCCTGCGCAACCTGTTCATCCGCTACAACGAACACGTCATCTATGTGCGTTTCTCCCATCTTCATTCATATCCAGCAAGGCAGGGTTAGATCGGGATGAAAACGACACCAGCGTTGGACTGGGAGCGTGGCACAGAGTTCTATAAAGACTTTTTCATCTTCTGTTTCCTCTGTTCATGGAGACTAATTGTGGTTAAAGAGTGAATAGAAAAGAAACATATAAAATAAATATAGCTACACTTTTTTCTACACTGAACACTTTTTTTGTAACCTCTATTTTCATGACAGTCTGAGATCCTCTTTGCAAAGTGTGGTGGACCCTGCATCTATTATGTGCTCTGGTCCTGTTCTTGTACTCTCACTATCAGAGCCTCTTTTAGCCACTGGACTTCTCAGTCTGTGGATAGCATGTGCTATGCAGGGCATCGCCCTTCTATTGATGCTTCTTTCCTTTGTGGAGCTTTAGCCCCTCAGACTGTAACTCATTTCTGGAGGCCGTCTTCCTAAAATATTCATGGGTCCTTTAGCCAGGTTTTCATACCAACAGTGTATCTGATAAGTGACAGGACAAAGGTGTTGATGGATCGGATGTTTTTAATAGTCAGCCAACTCGCTGCAGCATTCAGTTAAATTCAATTCAATTTATCAAGTGCCAAATCACAACAACAGTTATCTCGCAGTGCATGGCCTTTTCCTACAAGGGAAACGGATAAGACACAATATTACAATCCCACAAAAAAAGCAAAAGGATGTATTTGGTAATCCAAAGACAGTAGAGCCTGCTTATTAAAATTACAAAAAAAACTAAGCTTCATAGAAGTTATGGATGTTTTAGATTCGTACCAGAATTTGTCGAACTCCTTTCTACTCTTGACTTCCATATAGTGTAAATCCCTTAAGGCTTAGTTTTTAAGAGTGAATGAAAGTTCTTGTATCTCTGTGCCCCTGCAGACATACACAGGCTCCATCCTGATTTCAGTCAACCCCTACCAGCTGCTGCCCATCTACACTCCTGACCAGATCCGCCTCTACACCAACAAGAAGATCGGCGAGATGCCTCCACACATATTCGCCATTGCAGACAACTGTTACTTCAACATGCAGCGGAACAACAAGGACCAGTGCTGCATCATCAGGTGTGTTCATAGGCTCATAGTAACCCACACACTGACAAGGTGGAACTCAGACAGGACGCGGATGCGAAGATCGAGTAACAAAAAGGTTTTATTAACTCAAAACGCACTCGCAAGGAGTGGAAGCAAAGTACAAAATAAAGATCACTCAATGGGGCACTTAAACTTAAAGAATCTTAAACAAAGTAACAAAACAACACTCACAGGGAAGCAGAACAAAACGAGGAGGATCAAAATCACTACTTCGAAGAATAACTAGGTTCAAGGCGCAAGGCAAGGAACAGCGATGGCTTTGGTTGCTCAGTGGGACGGGGGACGAAACCCACTGGCCCCAGACAAGGAGAGACTCAGACTATTTAACACATGAGGGGAAGGGAACCCCAAGGGAACACAATAGGTGATCAGGAAGACAATTGGACAGATGACACACCGGGAAGTGCACGAGACCTGAAATGAGATGAGGGTTACTTATCAAAATAAAACAGGAAATGACGAGAGCAGATGGAGACCAGACAAAAACCCCAGCTGGATAAGACCGCTGTGACACACACCATATTCACAGCCACAGCCGCTTTAACTGAACCCTCTGAAGCAGACAGGCGCAGAATTCCTGAGCTGAGCAAAGAGTGCAGTGTACACATTTCCTCATACATTTCACAAATGCAGTACAAATCAGTGCAGAGTTTCAGAGAAGCAGCTGTTGGGGCCCAGTTATTAAAGTCTGACATGTAATAAAACATTTCGGTCTACAGTCATGGCCAAAAGTATTGAGAATGCCACAAATATTATATTTTCACATGATCTGCTGCCCTATGGTTTTCATGTGTGTATGTCAGATGTTGTCATCACATACAGAAATACAATAAATGCTTGAATTTTGTCAGAATTCCTAGGTTTTTGTTTTTCCACCCGTCTCTTGATGATTGACCATAAGTTTTCAATGGGATAAAGATTAGGGGAGTTTCCAGGCCATGGACCCAAAATCTCTATGTTTTGTTCCCTGAGCCAGTTAGATATCACCTTTGCTTTATGGCAAGGTGCTCCATCATGCTGGAAAAGGCACTGTTCATCACCAAACTGCTCTGGGACGGTTGGGAGAAGTTGCTCTTGGAGGACATTCTGGTTCCATTCTTTATTCATGGCTGTGTTTTTAGGTAAGACTGTGAGAGAGCAGACTCCCTTGACTGAGTGGCAACCCCACACATGAATGGTTTCAGGATGCTTTACAGTTGGAATGAGACAAGACTGGTGGTAGCACTCACCTCCTCTTCTCCAAACAAGCTGTTTTCCAGATGTCCCAAACAACTGGAAAAGGGATTCATCAGAGAAAATATTTTTCCCCAGTCCTCAGCAGTCCACCCCCTGTACCCTCTGCAGAATATCAGTCTGTCCCTGATGTTTTTCCTGGAGAGAAGTGGCTTCTTTGCTGCCCTCCTTGTGACCAGGCCTTGCTCCAGGAGTCTCCGCCTCACAGTGCATGCAGATGCACCCTGACCCTAACCCTAACCCTGACCCTGACCCTAACCCTGACCCTAACCCTAACCCTAACCCTAACCCTATATAACCCTAACCCTCACACCTGCCTGCTGCCGTTCCTGAGCTAGCTCTGCACTGTTAGTAGCCCGATCCCACAGCTGAAACACTTTTAAGAGACGGTCCTGGCGCTTGCTGGTCTTTCTTGGGCGCCCTGGAGCCATTTTGGCAACAATGACGTTGAAATGCGTTTTGGGGGATAAAGTTAATTTTCTAGGCAAATATTGACTTTGCAATTAATTGCTGTTATGCTGAACACTCTTTTTAACATTCTGGAGTATAAACAAATTGCTGTTATAAAAACTGAAGCAGTAGACTTTGTAAATATTAACATTTGAATCATTCTCAAAACTTTTGGCCATGACTACATAAGAATTAAAACAAACCTGCAACCTTGTGTTCATCCCCGATCCCTACAAATCACTATGATCCCAGTGGATATAGCATGTGAATTCTGAATTTGAATACACAATGCAATGCTGCCTACTCACCGTTTGACATTATTATATAACAACATGGGTCAAAGTATAGATTGGTGTGGTGGTTAGAACTGTTGCCTCACAGCAAGAAGATTCTGGGTTGGAGTCCCGGGGGAAGCAGGACCAGAGGGTTCTGGGTTGGAGTCCCGGGGGAACCAGGACCAGAGGGTTCTGGGTTGGATTTCCGGGGGAACCAGGACATTTCTGCAAGAGGGTTCTGGGTTGGACTGCCGGGGGAAACCAGGACCAGAGGGTTCTGGGTTGGAGTCCCGGGGGAACCAGGACCAGAGGGTTCTGGGTTGGAGTCCCGGGGGAACCGGGATATTTTTGCCAGAGGGTTCTGGGTTGGAGTCCCGGGGGAACCAGGACCAGAGGGTTCTGGGTTGGATTTCCGGGGGAACCAGGACCTTTCTGGGTGGAGTCTGCATGTTCTCCTGTGTCTGTGGGTTCTCTCCGGGTTCTCTGGCTTCCTCCCACCATTCAAAAATGGACTGTCCGGGGTGACCCCACCTCTCCCCATTGACCACTGGGATGGGCTCCAGTTCTCCCTGCGACCCCATCAGGGAATAAGCGGTAACGATAATGGATGGATGGATGAATAAAACAGAAACATCTTTATCTCTGGCAGTAGTTGATGTTGCATTTGACAGTGAGTAACACTGTGCAACTTAATAAATTACTCTGTGAGTCATTAAGTTCATATCCACAGTTATGTAATATGAATGAACAAATATGAAGAGAAATTTAAGTCAATCTGCCACAATAGCCTATAAATTTAAAGCCTATAGAGTTTAACAGATATTTTTAAACACTTATAAAATACAAAATAATTGCTGATGGCCCTTAAATGGGTTTTTATAGGTTTCCACTGCATACAAAAAGGGAAAATGTGATGTGATGTGTCCGAGGCATCTTTGGTCAAATGTCCTTCAACAAACAACCAACGTAAGCTGCTGTCATCCAGCACCTGTAGCAATAAAATCAGCCTATCTGTATGTTGGAGAGTGCAGCTCTTTTCTCTGTATGACAGTGGGGAGTCGGGAGCTGGAAAGACAGAGAGCACAAAGCTGATTCTGCAGTTCCTTGCAGCCATCAGTGGTCAGCACTCCTGGATAGAGCAGCAGGTCCTGGAGGCCACACCCATCCTGGAAGGTGAGCACTAAGAGCCAAACATAGTATCTTGTTACACAATAGTCCATCTGGAGGTATCCATGCACAGATTAAGACATTTCACTCAAGTTTACTTTAAAAACGAGATGGTGTTCTGGAGCTTTTTGTCATTAAAGAATCTAAACAAACATGTTAAGTTTGAAAGTTACTGTAGCTGAGATAGAACTACACAGTGACCCTCACTCCACTGCTTGTATTGTGTCGAGCCCTGCCACCTCATTGTGTTATGTCATTTCTTGTAGCTTTTGGAAATGCCAAGACAATTCGTAACGACAACTCCAGTCGCTTTGGGAAGTATATAGATATCCATTTCAGCAAAAGAGGGGCCATCGAAGGAGCCAAAATAGAGCAATACCTGCTAGAGAAATCTCGCGTCTGTCGACAGGTGAGACACCAGACGATGTCCAAACTCAGTCAGAATTCATGTCTGTGATGGAGCATTATACATACATTATACTTAGCTGTCTCCCCACATTCAATGTACTCATATATCCAAAATCTATGTGATGCAACCACAGTTATTAGCCACACACAAACACTCTGAGCCCTTCTCAGGTACAGAGGATTACTACATTTTTCTCTCCCACAGGCTCCCGATGAGCGAAACTACCATGTCTTTTATTGCATGTTGAAGGGTATGGCTCCAGAGATGAAAGCTAAACTGGGCCTGGGCCTTGCCACAGACTACATCTACCTTACCATGGTGAGTCCACGGCATCTGTTTGAGAGCTTTTCTGCTGAGAAGGTTGAGTGTTGCATGAACACCTATGTCTGCTCCTTGTTCACAGACAGTTTCTCATTTAAGGAAAAAAAAAAAACACCTTTGTATCCTACAAGTGTAATAAGTAATAAGTATTACTGAGCAACAGTCTTCTGTTGTGGGATATGTGAGGACAGGACCTAAAAGCAAACGCAGGGCTGCTGGATCAAGGAAAAACAGGGATTTATTGGTTCGGAGAGAGAGTGGAAGTACCAGGGAGCCGGGAAGAGAGGGGGGGTGTCCTTGGGGAGAAGGGCTTGATGGTGGGTTAAAGGTATATCCAAAAGGAGTGCTGAACAGACAGGAAAACCCACACAGGTAGCAAGGCCGGCGTTGATTCGTATATCCAAGAGGCAACCATGTGGTGTCAGAAACCTGGAGAGTGCAGCATATCACGGGTGGCTGATTGTCAAATGCTGCAGGTGTGATGATGAGCAGGTTTCCACCCTGAGCCGCCCAGCCAGAAACAACCAGCAGCACCACCTACAATCTGGTGTTATCTCTATATTTTCTCCAAGGACACAGAGTTCAAAGAGTGTTTTCTGACTATTCTTTAGCCTGCCACAAGGAAACAAGTTATTCCAATTTCCTTTTCTGCTCTGGCACAACAAATCCAAAGATAACACAGTTTGGCAGAAAGAAAAAATGTGTTTTTTGTGTTTCCTGAAGAGCTATTGGCTGAATATTCACTAGCATGGTGTTTAGTGTGGCTTTCAAAATTGAAATGAGCTCCACAAGTGGAAGATAAAAGAAGGGACAGGCCAATAGATAAGCAGGTTTGATTTGGGCCGCTCGCTGTTCAGTACTGAGGCATCCAGACTGCTCCTCTATAGAAGAGGCTTAATGACAGCAGTTCTAAGGGCCTTTGGAAATGTTCCAGTCTGAGGTGAGATGAGTCAGTTGTGGTAACAAACTGTTCAACACAGACTTTAGGAGTATAGTGGCTAACTGGTCCAGGAAGGGTGTGAATGGACTCAGGCTGCTGATGAGCTCTGACTGTTTTATCTCTAACAGGTGAAAACTGTATCAGCTCTACTCTCTGCAAAACTGCGGCCTGGAGCCCACACATGTCACTGTGAACCTGCTGGTGCTTTATCTGGCTGTTCAAAGATGATGGTTTAGTTTCTGCGGGGGGTGGGATGTTGGACACTGGGGACTGGCCTCATTCACCAGCTCTTTCAGATGTCTCATCTGAGGCAAGACTTTCTCTAGCCACTTAGAGGGTGCAGGGTACAGGGTATGCTGGAGGGGGACAACGGGGTGGGAGGCTTTAGGGTACAGGGTATGCTGGAGGGGGGTTAAAGGATGGGAGGCTTTAGAGTACGGGGTGTGGTG